GGAGCACCCGCAGTTTTCCTCATCCTCTCCGTAATGCGGTTATAATGAGCCAAGAGTGTACCGGCATACTGTCCCTTCGACTGCCATCCGAATTTCGTCTCTCGAAACATCTGAAAAATATCTTCCTCTGTGGTCCACCTGCCGCCTCCGTATGCCTTCTTCAACCTTTCCTTGACGGTCTCCCACGGTGTTTCTTCGTCCGCTTGGATATGGTTCAAAATGATTCTCTTGACCCTGCATACGAGAGCCGCCTTCAGGGCCTCTGCGTCCCCAGCGTTCACGAGGTTTTCATCTATCTTCGCATTTATCCTTGTCATAATGCGATCTCCACTCTTGAGAAAATGGTTCAGCTCACCCGTTTCTCCTGTGAAGATACCGCCTTCCTCAGGTCTTGCGACGTGGCTACTCTTATCTTCATCCACTCGATCGCGTTTGCATGGGCCGCAACGAAAGTTCCCTGCGGTAGTGGAGGGATCTCCGGTACGTTCATAGGAGCCGGCTGCCTCAGATCGAATTCAGGCATCTTCGTGAAAAAATTTTCTGTTCACCAAAAAAAAAATACCGTACCCCCGCACTCTCCCTTCTCCCGGGTTTCGGCACCAGTTAAGTGTCTCGGACTTGTGACAATAAAAAAAAGAGAAAAAGGTTAACGAAATGAAACGCATGAAGTCGAAATCAATACTGGTTTATTGTTGCTTCTAATCCTCTATATATACAGTTAGATCATGTTTACATCGATACGTTTGGTATTAACGCTAATACTGTGCCGCTCCGTACCTTAACTTATATATATATATATATATATATATATATATATATATATCTGCCTGCATTTTGATGTGTTATTGGATATATGTTGAAGTTAACTATCCAAAATTATTTATATTATCAATGAAATATTAGTAATCTCGTTGGTCCTGAATGTATTAGATTTCTTCTCATGAAAAAGGAAGTATGATTATAATTCATAACGGCAGATATAAGTTAAAATATTACAGAAAAGCTTTATTAATAAACCAAAAATTTAATGCTAAATAAATTCTATATATTCAAATAAATCGATTTGGACAATTAATACGAAATATATTTTTACATTTTCGTTAACATCATTTAACTTAGCTATACTAGCTGGATATCTCAGGAAGTGAAGCTGTTTGCTGGAGTTCTCTCATTGCGTTAGAGTCCGTGAAGAATATCTTCATGAGTCTCTTTTCCAGCTAAGACCGAGTACAAAATGTCTTCTCCTATTTAAGTATATTATCTTTTTGTCAAGGGGTTCATATCATCCTTGCTCTACCAAGAACAGAGGAGGGAGCACGATGGATTTAATTTTTATTGGTAACTAGACTTCTGTAGGCGGAGGTTCCAACCTTTTTCTGTATTCCTCCTATACTCAGAGGGCGTGGATTTTTTTTCTGTATCTGAATAATTTTTCCGAACATCTACTGCAGGAAAGCCAATTATTCTACTATCGCTTCTTCTCAGATGAAGGTTAGAATAAGATGTTTTCGAAAAAATAATATATCACTAACAAGTGGAGGTTATGGACGTGGGGTTACCGATTGCAATGAGTCTTTTTTTGGTGATAGTAGCTCGAAAAATATTAGACACATGTCCGAGGGTTCTTGCCAATGCTCCCTAGGAGCCAAGAAAAAAAAAAGTTATGTTACTGTTTTCTGACTTTGCTCTGAATGAATTAATAAGTTATTATATACCAAGTTTGCAAGCTTTTCGATGATTTGATAAATGTTTTAATTCATTTATTAAATCATTCAAAAACTTGTTCACATCATAATAAGAACACATGTTCTATTTTAAAATAAAATGATTTGGGCAATTAAATTGCAATAAAACCAATTTACACCCCTAAAACATCCAAAATATACGATTTAGGATATTCTACAGTTGCAGTGAATTATTTTAAAATGTTATAAAATATTGCCGTATTTACAATTTTTGTGGAGACAATACTGAATTATTAAACCTAAAAGTTGCAAGTTCTAAAATGAAGAATTGTGATTTCTTAGTGAAAGGTACGTTAGAATAAAAGTGTTATAGTCAATTACAACCTTCTTGTAAAGTTGTTGGCATTAATAATGAATAAAACTCTACAATGTTAGTCAGTGCTGAACCGTTGTTAAGATAGTATAGAACGTCGACAAATGTTAAATATTATATCGAATGATTACTAAACCTATCTTTGTCTTGTTGTTTTTTTCTCTTTTTTTTTAATAACCAGGTAATGAGATTAATGTCCCAATGGTTTTGAAATGATATTTAGATTTGGAAAAATTGATTTCATTAAATTGAATAGATCAATCACATGAATGATGTGGAAATTTAGAATGATTTTACGATTGGCTAGCAATCTACTAACGTCCACACAGTCCCCAGGATTCAGTTTGACGAACCCAAAGAAGCATTGAACCATAAATGCAAACGACTGCTCTATATGTTGGAATGATTTGCCAGGTGATGCAAACAGGTCTTCACTAATGAGATGGTTCGCTGCTGTACGATTCGTCGGTTCTAAATAGCCATAATTATCCACGCGCTCCATCCAACGTGCGCTGATTAAAAATGTTTTATAAGCTACAAGGGATCTTCTGGTTGGAGAGGTGCGTGAAAGAGAGAGAGAAAAAAGTCGAAATTGTGATATTTTGCATTCTAATAGTTGTTATTGATAATCATAGAAACAAATAATTACGCTTTGGTAGTGATTTTGCTTTGATGTGATTTCGCCTAAATATTTCATAAAACTACTGAATCTTCCAAACATGGAAGTTTGCAGAGTAAATGAAATATTTAGGCGAAATCACATTTTTGGATTAAGAGGTACACATTTTTTGATACATGATCTTATTGTAAAGTTAAACAAACATATTTAGCTGCTATATTCTAAAATATTAGGTGTAGTCGTGAGCTCTATGTTTGAGCAATGTGTTACTTCCCTTTGTGTTCATTTTGATTCGATTTCACTTGCATTTATTGATATTCTTACCAACCTTATTAAATCAGCTGCTCCATTTCAAACGATATTATTTATCATTTTATTGAATGTATTGATATTTTGTCTCTTGAGATGAGAGAGAAACTGACTGGTTATAACGTAATGAAGAATATTATATGAAAACAATAGCATACGTCAGGGGTCTCCAAACTACAGCCTTCAAGCACCTCCAATCCGGCCCGCGGAAATCCTTGGATTACATATTAAGTTTAAATTTTTTTTTTTTAAATAAGAAATTTAATAAATTATTTAGAGCGTCAGGTTACAACGTTTATTGCTCGAATTGTTACGCTTCAAAAATTCATTTCACAACCGAAGAGTCAAAAAAAAAAAAGCTGATTTGAGAGAAAATAAATTATGTATGGTTGAGGAGAAAAAAAAATTATAAAATGTATTACAAATAATTAACTTTTTGTTTACCATTATGGTACACTGAAATTAATTTATTTTTAATTTGAATTTAAATAAAAATTTTAATGGGTAATCTCAACATTACCATGTCATCTTCAAACGTACCTTTAATTTGGTTTATTATAAATAATTAACTATTTATCATTGTTAGGAGTTATGTTAAAATGCTAAATGTAACTTTTGAAAGAATTTGATAAATAAAGGAGAAAAACAGAAAAATGCCTATGCAGGTCGAAAATGAATATCTGGAAATAATAATCAGAAGGTAGGTGTACGTATAATATTTATTTGGAAAAACGATAACATAAAAAAACAATATATATAGAAAGTTGTAAAAGGTAACGGAGAGTGGCGGAAAAAATGTAAATAATAATTTCTAAAAACTAATATTATTTAACGTAAATCATATGTTTTCAAGGAAATCAAATGAAATTTTCTTATTATATGTAAACTTCTAATTTTTTTTAAAAAGGCAATGACATTGTTTAATATACTATTTCATTGTACTTGTGTGAGAGAAGAAGTGAAATATAAAAATATTTCATGGATATGTTTATAATCTTAAATATATTTACTGTAATTTAATAACTCTGGATCTGATATTACATTTAAATATTTAGGTATCTATCGTCCTTTTATTCTGAAAAATCATCATGTATCCTATTAGAAAATTGAATTAGTTAATAATTTAATCAATTTTTTCTTTGTAATATCCCAATAGTATCCACTTACAATTAGTGTGACAACTTTTAATCTGTCTATGACAGATAACGTAAATCTTGTAATTCTATTTTAGTAAAATTTGCAATGGAAAATAACTAATAGTCGTATAATCTACAATCAACCGGTGATATAATAAATAAGATTTTTGGTATTTTAATGATATTTATGATTTGTTAGCTGTAAGCTTTAAGCTTTAGCTCAGTTCAAAATGGAATTAAAAAAAATTATAATAGCAATAGTAAGTGAAAATTGTGTGTTGAGCGCACCAGATTGTTTTGTAATATTTAGACTCGTTTTAGAAAAAAAAATTGCCCCCGATTTAAAAAATCAGATTCATTAGATGTTTTTACATGAAAATCTATATTTATCTCGATTTCCAAGAATATATACTTTCTTTTTTTTTATCTATTTATTGAACAATAATACAATCAGCCACTGCTGGAGGGCTATAAGTATTAGGGCTAAGAGTTCTCATTCATACAATATATACACATAATAGAGAAATAAATATAAAATAAAAAGTATAGAAAATATACTAGGATTTATTTTGGAAATAAGTTGCTCGATTGAGTCATGCTGTTAAGTTTGTAATCACCTCTAATGTTATATTATTATACATAATTTTTATATTTCTTCCGATGGAAGTGCAAAAGTATTTTCATTGGACGGTTATAGTTTTAGCATGTAGTAAAAATTACGAGTTTTCTATGCTCCTCTTCATCCCTTTTAGCAGCTGATTTTAGAATGATCTTTCTGGATATCAGCAAATGACGAAATACTTCACGTTTGTAGTTATTCAATTTCACGAGAATGAGGTTTCAGCTACGTGTGTGACACTTCCTCAGGAGTTCTTAAGATGACTGTAAATGCGATTTGCCTCGAGGAGACGGGGACAAGAGGAAGGTGGCCGGGGATGAGATATGGGCCCTCCTCGGGGATGGGGATTAGCCAGAATTTCATTAGGGAGCCCCGAACCCTTTTAAAAATGCTCTTGAGTTATGTCCTAGGAGCTGGGTCCTAAGAGAAAAGATGTTCATTAGGAGTAGCTCTTTGTCAGGAAGGCTATTTCATTAGATGTACCTACTCACGGCTCTGCGTCTTTCAGCTATCTCCTAAGTCAACTGGCCCGGTCTGTTCCCTTCTATAAATGTCATCCCGTTTATCTGATCCTATTGTTTAAGTCAGTCACAAAGTTTATCAACTGTTTCTGTCTTTCTTTTAATATATTTTTTTCCCCTGGCTGTTTAGAATATGTTGTTTATTTATTTAACGCAGTGGAACCTTATTAAGAATCTTATTGTTTATGAAGGTTGAAGTATACTAAAAAGTAACGCTGGTCTCCGTTACATTAATGTAGATTAATGTCAGTTACATTAATGTGGATTTTCACATATGTAGATGAAAAAACTAAGCCAATTAGCCAAGAAAAATCGTAACCAGAGAAATGGCCCTTTGTATGTGGAGGGAAAACTCGGACTAACCTAATATTTCATTTACAAGTTTTGTGAAATGTTTTTTTTTCTCTGTGTGCGTGTGCGTGCGTGCGTGCGTGCGCGCGCGCGCGTGCGTGTGTGTGTGTGTGTGTGTGTGTGTGTGTGAGAGAGAGAGAGAGAGAGAGAGAGAGAGAGAGAGAGAGAGAGAGAGAGAGAGAGAGAGAGAGTGAGAGAGATTGGTTTTATATTGAAAAAAAAAATTGTTAATTCTCTGATTTAAAAAACCCCACAACGTTTAACATCAAAACAAATCCTCCATGCCTTAAAAAAGCTTGTATGATAATGGTAGGCCAAAAAAATGTTTAAGTATAAGAAGGGTTTCTTCCTAGGGTTCCTTCTTAATTAGGAAATTATGTGATGTGAAGATTTATTAGCTTTTAATATAATGAAAAATGTATATTTCCATACAATTAGAAAATATGTTATTCTAAAAATATGGTTTAAAAGATTTTAGATGCATTGAAATTATAACTTAAGATTTACATTAGAGTGCTACCATTGGGTAGTTACTCAGCAAGTGTATTCATGTCATTATATCGATTATGTCCAAATTTACTAGATGTATTTATGTAATACAGTTGTAAATGTCATTTAGAAAAAAAAAAATTACTTACACTAGACTGAAACGACAAGAAAGCGCTCGACGTTTCCGATTACTTCAGCACTTACTAGACAAACGTTCCAAACTTCCAATTAATTAAAAAATACTCATATACGTGACTATAATAAGGCCTATTTCTACTTACGGAGTTGAGCTATGGGACTCCACTAAACCATCGAATTCCTGTCGTATCCAATCCTTACAATCCAAAATCCTACGTAAAATCCTCAATACTCCCTACTTTGTTACAAATAAAACCATCCATAATGACCTTAATGTTTCTTTTGTTACAAATCTGGCCGAATCCAGATACCTATCCTTCCATAATAAACTTCAAAATCATCCCAATCCTCTCGTTTCTAACCTTGCTTCCTCTTCAATTCCTGATAACCCTCCGAGACATCTGAAAAGAAGATGGCCCTGTGATCTCCTAATGTAGACATATCATTGGAGTAGTAACTATCCATTGGGTAGTTACTCAGCAAGTGTTTTCATGTCATTATTTTCATATTTTCAAATTTACTACTGTATTTATCTAATGCAGTTGTAAATATCATGAAGTAATAAAATAAAAAATGATTTACTTAACAACCATTATATTAAATATCAAATTTTTTCACAAAATCAAACAATCACATTATATCAAATTATTCACTCACTTTTGTATTATATTTGTATTATACACTGTAATTTATATTATATTAATACATAGTAAATGTATTAAAACGTAATATTCGTAAATACGTTTAAAGTGGGGATGGAGAGGGGGAGGGTAGAAGTCTCCACCTTCCGACTATTAGTGAGAAATATGCAGTATAATGTTAACGTTTAGTATTTCTTACATGAAGAGAATTTTAATTATTTTAATGATTTTAGAATAATGAATTTTTTTATTTCCACTCATTTATTTTTAAACAAATGCCTAATTATTATTCAACGATTCGAGAACTATCCTCATTATCAGGAACTCCATTACTATTGAATCTATCACTCCTATGTCATATCTATTGCTCGATTTCAGTCGTTCTTCATCAATTTTAACAACTTTGTCTCGAGTTAAACATGGATCTTATATAAGAATTGTACAGGAAACTCTTTGCTTTTCATTGTCGCAACTTAAAGAATAATATTCACATCCTAATTTTTGGGACATTGGGAACATCGGTTTTATAGGATTGTTGAATTGAACATAAATGTTTTCCGTGTTGTTCCAGTACGTTTTATTTGGAAGATACGAGAGAATGGGCATCGGTTCCTTGTGGGGAAAAGAACGGCAGGCTTAAAAGCGACACTAAAATCCGAATCAGCATTTACATAGGGTCCCTAAAGAAGTAAACAATCTCCCAGAAGGCTGAACAGCGCGGCATCAGGCTCTGCTACATATGTAAGAGTATGGAGTAACAATGGGTCAAGTTGTTGCCGACACCTACAACTATTTGCCAGGCCCGGGGCCAGAATCCCAAATATCCGCCCGATGTCCCCTCCCTCCCCCTCCCATGCAGCACATAGCTATCCACCAACTATCTCAACTCCAATAGTCACCCCTTCGACAATAGTTTACCATTACGGTCCGTTCCGAGGTTCCGATTTCAATAACAAAGCCCCAAGGGACCCACACAATCCTTAGTGTTCTCTGCTAATGGCCTCCTCAGATCTATCCTTTTCAGATTGTTGTAACAATCCCTTAAAACCAATTGTAGAGATTTTAAAATAGGCAAATTAGTTTTGCATATATATTTGTGTTTTCCCACTTTATTTATAGTATATTTAAGTAAACATGATAATTGAAATTGTAATTCTCTACTGAGAAAACCTTCAAACGTTTCTAATTACATTAGGATGTAATCATCTGAGATGACAATTTTTTATTTTGTTTCAATCTTTGCTATATTCAGACCTATAAGTATATATATATAAACTTAACTATTTAATTGGGAATAAGGTCACTTATTAATTATTCAATAAACTATTGAATGTTCATTTCTTCTGTTTATTGACGTTTCGATCCCGGTATTTTCTTTTTATAAGTCAACTATGGGATCCTCTTCAAAGCTAGAGTTTTAAAAAATAGAGCGATCAGGCCAGGGACACACCGACAGTCTCAGTACCGTCCACTAGCACATATATTAAGGACTGATCGAAGCTCTATTTTTTAAAATTCTAGCTTTGAAGAGGATCCCATCGTTGACTTATAAAAAGAAATACCGGGATAGAAACGTCAATAAACATAGAAGAAATGAACATTCAATAGTTTATTGAATAATTAATAAGTGACCTTATTCCCAATTAAATAGTTAAGTTTAAATTTAATACTCAAAGGTCGATTAAGGAAAGGTTGTAAATATATATATATATATATATATATATATATATATATATATATATATATATATGTATGTGTGTATGTGTGTGAACGAGCTGATTGCCTTGCAAAAGAAGCAGCTAAAAGCGATTTGCCGTAATCGTATCGTCAAGCTCCTTTATCGTATATTAAGATGAATTTAAAGCTGGATTTCATCAAAAGATGGGATCACATATGGGTGACCTCAGCTAAGTCACCAAGCTTACACAGATTTATACCACACATTTCAATTCACTATTACAGACACATTCACAGTAATGACTACAGACTTACGCAAGTACTTACGGAACATGGGAATACAAAACAATATCTTATAAGATTTAACATTATACAAACAGACTTATGCGATGAAGACGGACAGGTTCAAAATTTTAAAAAACATGTAATACATGAATGTAAACGATTTGACAGACAGCGATTTGAGTTAATAAAAAGCATAGCTATCAAAAGTGTAAATTGGCCTGAGATGGAACAAAAGTTATTTACTGAATTCAAAACAGACTTTCTTAGATTTATTAGATCTATCGACTTCGACTTACTTACCAGGGATGGGCAGCGTGGGTGATTTCTTGTTGGCTTTGTTGGATTGACTTTCTCTGTTTAATATTTAATATTCCGATTTATTATTATTTTTGTTTGTTTATTCTTTGTATTTCTGGTTGTTAATGTATATAAATTTGAAGTAAAAATATATATTATGTAAAACTTTTTTTATTTTATTTTTTTATCTGTTTATTGAGAAATAATACATTTTGCCACACTTAAGGGCACTGAGTACTAAGGCTGAGTGAGGCACATTCATACCATATATACACTACCAAAAAAAAATAAATAAATAAATAAATAAAAAAAAATAATAATAATAAAAAAATATATACATCTATATAACAAAGGAAAAAAATATAATAAACCAAGGAAATGTAACTTAGAGTTAAAATTAAATAAAATACAGAAATTCGTAGCAAAATTAAATAAATTATAAGTAATAGAAATAAATAGAAAAACATTCATACTTAAATACAATATTATCAATCAGGCAAGAGATCTCCGAGTCCAGCCCTTTCCCCCACGTGTGAAGGACAAAGCGAGACTCTAAGAGATCCCAGCACTTCTCTCTCAACCGCGTCGCCGGCATTACCACTCCGGTATTATGTAAAACTGGAAAAGAAACAATTGTAAACAAATGTAATTCATGTAGTATGTCTTTAAGGCATGGAGCATGAAGGGAAATCAACGAATCCTTGTGTGGGATTACCACATAGGAAAAAAAATGTATATATATATATATATATATATATATATATATATATATATATATATATATATATATATATATAAAAGATTGTTAAAAATATTTGTATTTCATGTTTTCAATAAGTGTAAAACTTATACATTTTAAGTTTATTACTAGGTAAAGGATAAAAAGTGGTTCTTATCTCTTAATACATTATAAAAAATATTATCGAAAAGCATCGAGTATTTTGAAAAAAAAGTTATTAGGCTCGCTTAATTAAAAAAGAAAACTTGTTTTGTTATAATTACTCATAACAATGAACTTGGGTCAAAATGGCGTGTTCTCATTTGTAGACTTTTATATGCATATAAAGCCCCAGCTTTACAATGAAAAACACCTGCCTGCGCTACCCAACAGACATTTTATCGGAGTAATTCGAAGAATAATTTAATTAATTAATACCATCTACGGACCTTTTGCCAGAGAGGAGCCAATTTCAGTGAAAATGTGTACAACATCGGAAAATAATGATTTTAGTTAATTAACCCCATCTAGAGAATTTTAAACTAAATTTAAACTTGGTTGTTTGTTTCTTTCTTGTTAAAAATAACTTAAAATACTTTATTTTTGATTTATGTTGTTTTTATAAAAAAAAAATTTAAATTTATTTTTTATAGGTAGAGGAGGGGAGGAACTAGTAGCACATCCTCCTGGCGTGATATGTGCATAAATTGTTAGGTGAGGAGGTCTCTCATCTAGCTTCTTTTCAACCTCCTACGGACGTTGCCTGACATGCTTGCTGTGGCTATTTATGAGTTTGTTCACGTCCTTGTAAATTGTCATGTAATCGTTTGGAACGGTCTCGTTAACAGTCGGCATATGAAGGTCACTGTGTAAGGCCAAGTTGCTAACTTACCAAGGTCCTTTTATAATAATGCTTTAAAACTTGTTAATGTGAATCTTTTTAGCTGTTCTATGGAACACAAATATTTGTATGTGTGACGCGTAGGTCCAAATAGATTATAATAAGTAAATGTATTTGAATTCTGAGTAAGTGTTGGTTTTGAGTGTTTCCAGATAAGTGAATATAGAAGGCTTAGTCTTTGATTTAGGATTTTTCCTTTTATCGTTATATGTCATTTTTGAATGAAATGTCAGACCAAGGAAGTGTAAACGGTATCTGTCAGTGAGATCCGCGAATTGTCAAGAAAAACTAGAGTACAAATTTCTTATCGAAGAGTGATGCACTGTTGTTTTCATGATTTAGTTTAAACCAGTCATGTAATTTCGTTAAGTAATGTTATTTCTAATTACACCAGGAACGTAATATTTATTTTTATTATATTCAAAATCATCAGTAGATAATCATATTTAAGGGACAATGGAAATTTAGGTTTATATTCTTTGTTTCTGATAATATTACAAATCAAAAAAAAAAAAAAAATCCTAATATTTCTTAATTATATAGAGTTGTAAGTTCACTGATATAGATAGATAGATAGAAAAAAAAACTTTATTTTGGGACTAAGTCCCTTCAGAATAACAATAATGTACAAAATCATAGAATATTAATGGCCTAAACGTTTGAAACAATAAATAAAATTGATTAAATAAAATAAAAAGTAAAGAAAACCTTAGGTGCACAAGCTATATACAATACAGATAAAACTATGTACAGAGCATTTAAAATTATGAACAAAACAATTAAAACTATGAACGAATCACTTGAACTATGAACAAAATTATATATAAGGGTTGAACAACAAAAACATACACTTTGAAAAATGAAGAACGAATAAGAGATACAATGAGTTCATTTCATAAAATAAAACTTTACTTGAATATATATACATAAAATAAACAATTAATTATAATTGAATAAAAAAAAATGTATGTATTGAAATTGAAATCGATATTAGGAAATGCATGTAATATCTCTTACCAAGTATGATGATTATATGATTGCTACACAATACATATATAATATTAATAGTTAGCTGGTATCTGACTGTTTTTGGAATAGGAATTGGAATAGGAGGTTTTTGAATGTGTATAGGGAAGGGGCATGTCGAATTTTTATCGGGAGGGAATTCCAAAAGTTGACAAAGCGGGCTATAAAGGAATTTTGGAATGAGGCAGATCTATGAGAAGGGATGTATAGGTCAGAGGGTCGGGATCTTGTAGTGAGGGAATGGATATATGATATAAGTTGCAAAAGGTTCATTTTACACAAGTATGTATACGTAAGTACATTTTTGAGTATATGTATAAAACATTTATATGTTACACATATATGCGCCTGGATTTATCATTGAAAAGTTTCATCCTGCCATCAATCAAATCTATTTTTCTATCATAACTAAAATACAATATATACCTTGACCAGTTACTGAATGATTACAGGTATAGAGGGAGAGAATTGCAATAACTAGCTAATGTACAGTTATATTTAGTGGATAAAACTAAAATTTGAAAAATATTTCTCAGCAGTCAAACAGGCGCGGAGTATATACCATACCGCACAACTTGAGAAAATTCAATCTGTTAGAATGAAATGCATTGTGCATGTCTGAAATTTTATTATCGCAATGTAAGCGACAGATGTGAATATAAAATAAAATTTTGTGTTGTGCGCGCATCACACAACTTTCACTTACCACTCTCTTCTTAGCAGAAAAAGTTTTTTTCAGACAAACGAGAAGTGAAAGTAAAAATCATAGACGCTATTTTTATTTATATTTCATTTTGGGCATTTCTATTCGTATTAGTACCCTAATATATACAAATTTTAATATTTATATCGCAGTTATCTATACAAATAAATATTAAAAAATTACCAAGAATAGGATTTATGAAAATCGCATATCTGTATTTACATAATATTGTCGGAGCCCTTATTATATTAAGCTTATGTTATGTATGGAAGCGTGTTCTAATCTTTCGGGGAAGCTCGGATGCATTTGTATTCATTTGGTTCCTCAATTACAACTCCGTTACGATCTCTTATTTTTCCTTTAGTTGATCATCAATT